CACACACACACACACACACACACACACACACACACACACACACACACCTTGATACACCCCATTCCTCACTCTAACAGGTGACTATTGTCTAAATGTGCATTACCACGGAAGGAAGGACCTTCTGGAAGATTGACCATCCCACCCAGCCTCCCAGCCAATGCTGAGCGTTCATTTCTAAGATGAAAAAAGCACCTGACTGCCCATGAGGGATGAATTCTGGCACATTTGAGATCAGCCCTGGTGTGTCTGAAAAAATGAGTGTCTCTGTGTATGTGTGTGTGTGTGTGTGTGTGTGTGTGTGTATGCACATGCCTATTCTCGAGTGTGTATCTGTGAACAACCAAGCAGTCTACATTATGTCTATGTCTTTCTGGGGACTTCTTAGCCTGAATAAACATCCCTCTCAAGCTCTGATTAAAATTGTGGACCATTCACCAATTAAGGGGCATTACATACTTCACTGCGTACCAGTCATGAACTTGGAAGAGGAAAGATTGTTCTAGATTATCAACCCTAGAAATGCCACTAGATGAATCTCTATGGGAAAAGAGGGAAAAAAAAGAAGCCAGCTCTGTCCGTGACATCCCCCTCCCCCATACTTAACTTCTATAATAAGGCAGCTTTATCTCTAGGAGAAAGAAGCCACGCGGCATATTAAAAACCCAGATTGAGCTTGTTAAATAAACCACACTGAAGAGGGGAGGGTTTCATCAGAGACACTGAGCGTGAAGCAGCACTGGTGGCCGTTCTTCTCTCTATAATTCTGGTCTCACTTTTTCTAAAATTTTTTCTTCACTTTAGAAGAGGAAAAAGCAGGGGCTTCCTGGACTGGCAAGCTGAGGTAGGAGCCTGAGTGAGAGGGGTCTATGACACAGCATTACCCCCATTCCCCAGTATAACACACACACACATACTCTCTCTCTCTCACACACACACACACACACACACACACACACACACACACACACACACACAAACAGTGGAGAAAGGTGAAAGATGATGCTAATTGATCAATCACTCATCACTCTAATCCCATACTTGCTATAACCTTTCATGTTTGCCTTGCTCCTGGGCCCTGAAAAGTGAGCCTTTGATGAGAAAAATCACTGGTTGGGGGGTGATGTGAAGATGGATAAACTCCAGGATCCTAATGTATGTTTCTTAAAGGTTTACCAGAGAGGAAGTCATCAGCAAGACTTATAAATGCGCTGAAGAGAGAACACCACCACCACCATCACCACCACCACCATCAACACCACCAATAATTTCCTCAAAAGACCAGCATGAGATGAAGTGCACCCAGGATACCCTCTGTGGTCTACCCAGTCATCTTTAACACTGAAGGTCTGTGGGAATAGAAGGGGATGGTGGGTTGGAAAGGTCTGATGCTTCCTTGCTCAGAGACCACGTGGGAAAAGTCAATCAAAGGCCTAGTTAACCCTAACTCTCTGTCATTGTGCCATTCAAGCCCTAGAAAGGCTCCACATGACTCAGACCCCAGACTTCTGCTCAGAGGACTAAAAATCACTTCCTAGAGGCTGAACATGGTCAACTGTTTCAAGAAATGTCAAGATTTCACATGGAATCTTCAGGGTATTTCCAGAGCTCCAGTTTAGCCTATTACCACCTGTTACTCAAGTTTCTGGAAAGTCAACTTATGACTCTTTCCCTATCCTAAGCCTGCATGTGCATACAGATACAACAACAAGCATAGGTATGTGTAGGCAAATGTGCCCACACAAATGCATCAGGAAATGTGCAGCAGTGAAGCTAAACTTTGCCATGATACTGGTCTAAGGCATAAGGCATGAGAGAGTCTCAGTTGAACACATGGTATTTTCCATTCTTAGAGGAAAAAATACTTTTCCATTCTTCCTCCCAGTCACAGGAAATAGATTTTGTGTGTGTTGTGTTCCTGATTTTTTTTTCTGGGTTTAGAAGAAATGTCCAGACTCAGTCTTCTTTTCCCTGGCTCAGACTCACATGAGTCTCTCATTCATTTTTAGGGGAATAATACATTATCTTTTTTTCTGCTTTTCTCCCCCCTTTAATTATTTTAAAAACATAAAAATCAAATATAAATAACTCTCACAGGAAACCAAGTCCCAGCAGACAAGGCTCAGGAATCTATCTGGGTTCAGTGAGTTACTTGGTTCAGGGTGGTTTTTTTTTTTTCCCAGAATCAAAGACTACAAATAGCAGACACACGTACTCCCAGCAAAAGCTATGGTGGTTTGAAAGAAGATATTTAACCATCCAGGAGCAAAATGTCTGTAGTTGAGGAGTCTGAGCCAGGCACTTGGTGGGGGAGGGAAAGAAAAAGAAAAGAGATGGACCAGGGGGACAGCTGGGGCAAGTAAGGTTTTTAAGGAGGATTTACCCTAATTAAGCAGATAAATGCCCTCTAACACACACACACACACACACACACACACACACACACACACACACACACATATATATATACACACACACACACACACACACACACACACACACACACACACACACCCCTTGGGTGCCAAAACAAATCCTGGTGACAGCATCCCCTCCCATTTTGATTCAAACGCTTAGTGTCCAAAAAGACAGCCCAATCTTAGCTCAGGGCATGGAGGCTCTTAAGGCTTCTGATATCCCCAATGCTGCCCAAAGACCACTGAAAAGCGAAATCCCAGGGCAACCCTCAGAATGGGGGCGACTCATAGAGTGAAAGGCTTCTGACCAGCTTCGATTCAATGAGGTTCCTGCAGCTTTCTTCCCAGTGACCTATTCTGAGAACAGATGCCTGGCAGTCTTTTACCACGGTAATCAGAGGATGTTTCCCAGTCACAGTTCATCTCTGCCATCCCCTCCCCCTCCTCCCTCACATCCCCTCCCCCCTCCTCCCTCACATCCACTCCCCCCTCCAGAGCATCCCTGCCTTCCTCTGACTTCCTCCTTCGCCTCCAGCAATCACCTTCCTGAATATGAGAAACACCCCCCTCTACTTTCTACCCTATTCAGCTCTGTACTCTTCCTCAGTCCAGCACTGTTTTCAAAGCCCACCGCTTTTTCTTTTTTCATCTTCCTATCACGTTGTTACATTACAGTACATACAGAGGCATCAGACTGAGCTCCAGGACCAGCCAGAGCTACTCCACCCTCAGAGGAGATCTAAAGTGAGCATCCTTCGTTGCAGTCCATGTCTGGAAATTCTCTCCAAATGTACTGGAGAATATCCTCTATTTGAACCTTGCAGCAGATGGAGGAAGACCTGGATGCCCCTTCCCTTCCTCTCCCCTCCCCTTCTATCCCCTTTCTCCTCTTCTTTTTTCTCTCCACTCGTCTCTTTTCCTGTCCTCTCCTCTCCCCCCACATCAAGCTCAAAATTTCATGCAGACAAGAAAGCCAAGGACCCTTGTATATTTTATCAGCTCTGCACCACCATCCACGTCCCAAGCCGAAGATGCCACTTGAACCATCCCCTCATCACCAGGCCACCCTCCTTCAGCATTTCTCCTACTGTTCCCCCTACCCCCATGCCCAGAAGCTCCAGCTGATTCTGCCTGTGCCTGCTGCCTCCTGACTGCTTCCACTTCTGAGCAGAGAGAGAGAGAGCCACCACATCAGTCACTACTGAAGCATTACAATCAAATTCCTCAGACTCCAAGGGGCTCTGGGATAGCTAGCTCAGGACTCTTTCCAGTCAGAGGACTAGAAGGCCAACCCCACATAGCTGGGGATGAAATGCCACGGAGATCTTCAAGGAGGCTGGGGTCCTCTGACCTCCAGCTCCCTTCTGCACAGACTACACAACTCTGAACAGAATACTGGGACTCAGCAGGCTGCTCTCCTTTCCACAAATCTGGTCACTGGCAAACCAAACTCCCAAAAACTGCCCAACCAGCCTGCCCCAGCTTCCAGCCTTCGCTCTAGGCATGGCCTGCTGCCCTGCTCTGGCGTATCGGCGGACCTCAAAACCAAGTCACTCGAGCTCCCCAAGCACCTTTCATGACCGGGAAAGCAAAAGCCCCAAAAGAACTGAAAACCAAGTTACTCACGGTGGTGAAGTCCTGGTGCCCACACTCCTGTCCTTTGAACTTACAGTAGAGCATCATATCCTTCAGGTCATGGCCAACACGCTCCAAGAACTCTCGCATGCTGAAGACCTTGGGTTTGTAGTGCTTGAAATTGGCCTTCTCCCGCAGGGCCTCCAGTACGGTGGGGTCAGCTAGGTGTGGATTAGGGATGTCCAAGTTGACATCGAGCAAGGCCAGCAGCTCCCCAGCATGGTACAGGTCATTGGTGGTGAGGCGGGAAAAGCGGAAGCCATTGAGGTTGCAGACGGTCACGGCGGGGAAGACCAGGCTGTGGGCAACTACTTCATCTACCTTGGTGACATGCTGGTAGGAAAAGTAGAAGGAGATGCGCTCCGAGCTTTCCACCAGCAGCAGGCCCAGGGAGCCCATGAAAGCCACAGCCCAAAGCACGCGGCGGATGGTCAGGGGCCCGTACACAAAGATGTGCCGGATGCCATGGAGGGTGGACGTGTTGGCAAAGATCTGGATGCTGGATGGCTGCAGGCTGCCTTCACTGGTGGTATCCTTGAGATCCATCGGGACCTTCTTGGAATCCTGAAACTGAGTTCAGGTTGGTGAATTTAGAGAGAGGGAGAGTTTTGAATCTCCCTGAATATGCTTAAACCCTTATTTATGAGTGGAGTGGAGTGGGGTAGGGGAGGGGAAGGGGGGGGGGGTGGGGGGGAGGGAGCAGAAGGAGAGAACCAGGCCAGATGCTCTCAGTTTATCCTGGGAGCTCAGCGGTCGCTTGGCAGGGTGAGTGTTTATATAAAATCCATTCAAACTCTACCTCGTTCCTCGGTGCGATAAGGAGGGCTGGTTTTATTTGGGGGAGACACCAAGGTGATGTGGAAGAGATGTGGGTGGGAAGGGAGGGCTTAGCCAATGGAAATAAAGTCCTTCCCCTGCACACACACACACACCACTAGAGACAAGATTAAAAGCAAGCAAGAGAGAATGCTTAAAACAAGTCTGTCAGCAGCTCCCAGCCTGTTAACCAGTGCATAATGCCCTGTGTTAAGCATCTACAGGGATGTCAGCCTGGATGCGCTGATGTTCCGCAGAGCATCAGCACAGCCCACGGCAGGCAGTGAGACTGGCTGGATTTGCTCTATTCCCCCCCACCCCTTGTTCTGGACTCTGGAACCCTGTTCCTTTCCCTGCTCATTCCTTGGCTCTCTCCCTCCTACCCAGCTTCCTCTGATGGGCAGCGTTCCAAATGCCAGCAGGCAGCCTCCTCGGAGACGAAGGAGGGCTGCTGATCTAGGAGCAGGGGAGAGGTATGCAAGAGGCTAAAAAAAAAAAAAACAACCATAATCATAACCACGGAGAGAAGAGATACGCGGAGACAGAAGTCCCTAGATAAAGCTACCATCCACCCACTCCCATGCAGCAGCTTGGGGAGGTGGGGAAGGAGAGTGATTTCTGGTTATGGATGCTAGGCACAGGTAAAAAGTTTCATTTTGTCCTCTTTCTGCCTCTCTTCCAGGGAACCGAATGGCTACAGGCTTGAGGTGGGCAACAGTCATCCCGAAGTGAGCACTCTATTGATTTGTTCCACGGGATGCTTGCCTAAATGGAAGGCGTAGGCTCCAGCCTTTTGCAAGGGGACTGGATCTAAGTGGAGGGATGGGCAGGGAAGTGCCATTCTGTTACTAGGAAAGATCCTTCCTTTTGGGGTTTTGGAAGAATGAGGCTAAGGAGAACAGATCAAAGTCCCGTTATGCTCAGGAAACAAGAAACTGATGTGTATCGCTAGTATTTGGGGAAGTCAGGTTCTCCCTCCCGGCTCCCCCTCATAGCCAGAGATATCGCAACAGGTGGTCCCCCAATCTCCATTAAGTGTCTGGCAGAAGAAGTGGTACCTGAAAAAGAATGTGACAGCTGGGGCTCCAGGTAGGGCTTAATGTACTCAGCTTGCATGTGTGTGTGTGTGTGTGTGTGTGTGTGTGTGTGTGTGTGTGTGTGTTTTCCTAAGGATTTGCCAGATGGGAGCACAGCTGTGGATTGCAGAGAGGGATGAGGCTCTGATTTGACCTCTGGGTTTCCAAAACTCCATTGGCATCAAGTTCCAGCTGGCAAATAGGTGTGCCTTGCTCCATGCCAGGGCTCAAGACTGGGGAGTCAATTTAGACAGTCCTGGCAAAGTGTTCCTACATCCTTGTCACCTCCCAAGGGACAGAGAAACAGAGAGATGAAATAGCCAACCTCTGGCTGCACTGCCAAGCTTAGAAGGAAATACAGGATGCCCTCCCTCCCTCCACTAGCCAACCTGAAACCTTCCCTCCTACCCAGCCTGATATTCCTTCTAGGGGCTTAAGCTTCTCTCAGAGCTGTATCCAAGGCCCGACTCACAGGCTTGGAAAGATGTTTGAGGAGAGAAGAGCAGCTGAGAGTATTTCTCCCCTTGTTTTGATCTGCTTTAGAGTGTCTTGGATCCAATCTGGCCTTTTTTCTGAAGTCAGTCCAAATTTGGGGGTGTTTTTCAGTCATTTTTTGAAGCAGAAAGTGGCATTGTGTGCTCAACGCTTGTTTATTGATGCCAGGTCTACTAATGAGGGTGATAACACCCCCAGCAGGAACCAACCAGGAAACTCTCCCTGTTGGGCCTCATATACACTCCAATAAGACAATGCAATTCATCGCCCCACCTAGCCCATCTCACCCTTGATGCCCGTCTGCAATTTGGGGATTTGTTGTTGTTCAGTCTTTTTATTCATGTCCAACTCTCTGTGACCCCAAGTGGGATTTTGTTGGCAAAGATACCGGGGTGGTTTGTCATTTCCTTCTCCAGCTCATTTTACAGATGAGGAAACTGAGGCAAACAGGGTTAAGTGACTTGCCCAGGCTCACAAGTACCTGAGGCTGGATTTGAACTTGTGAACATGAGTCTTCCTCATTCCTAGCTCTAACCACTGCACCACCTAGCTGCCACTATTTTGGGGGATAGGTCTATTCCTATGGATGTGAATTGAATTTGTCTATCTTCTCCCCTCTCTTGAACTGTAAGTTCTTAGGGGAAACTCCATACTCATTTCTCAATATGATGATTTTCTGTGTTTTAAAACCATATTTATGGTTTTATTAGTACAGGGAAGTTCTGATGGAGAAACTCCTTTTACAAATTCAGATATAGGAAACTCTCTCTAACACTGCAGACCAGCACATCTCTACAGGTATGACCTCAAAAAGCTGACTGGAGCACCTAGAAATAACATGGCTTACCTAGGTTCACCCATTCAGTATTTGTCAGAGGCAGGATTTGAACCCAGGTCTTCAGGTTTATTTTTTTTTTTTCTCTTCACTACATTGCCTTGCTATCTAACATTAGGTGCTGGATAACTTCAGTGGTGTCTCCATTCCTCAGCTCCAATGTTATACATATAGGATTTGTAAGGAGAGTAGTCAAATAGATGGGAAATGTGACTGGATCATGGGTTTAGAATTGGAAGGGATCTTAGAAAAAAAATGTAGTTTTCTAACCCTTTTGTTTTCTAGTGGATAACACTGAGGTCCCTAGACAGGAAGGGACTTGTCCAAAGTAATGAGTAGCTAAGCAAGATTCAAACCCAGACAATCTTGTATAAAATCTAGTGTTCTTTCCAATAGGCCAGGTTAATTTTCTTATCATAAGAATGTCTTTGGGGGGCCTTGAGCAGCTGCAGATCAAAGTTTGGAAAGTATTCCTCTCTGATGTGTGTCTAATTGGTCTTCTCTGACAGCCTGATTGTCTTCTTCCTATCCTCATGGCAATTACCACAGTATCTTCATAATATTTCTTTCCTCTCTCCTTACTTTACTCTTGACTCCAAGATAGAATTCTACCCAGATCAAGAAAATAATGGCTCTCCTGAAGTTGACAGCCACTGGTTCCATAGTTTGCCAAGGCCAATCTGAAAGCCTTATCAATGTGGACAAGATCATTATGAACAAATCACCACCTTCCCTCCCAGCTAGAAAGAAAGAGGATATGCATCCAGGTCTCCAATACAGCCAGGAAGAAGAGACTTTCTCTTTTAGACTATGAAAATTCTCATGGTCCCATGTCCCTGGATGAGTTCTAAAAAACTGGGGTTCAGATGACTCAAGTTTCTTCATCCCAATTTCAGAATTTCAAATTTCCCTCCTCAAATCCCTTACTCGCTTCTGTTTCCCAAAGCATATCCCTTGACTGCTAGATTGTCCAGACAAGTAACCTCTAGAGAGTAGCCTTGCTTTTCATCTAACCTAAAAGATTTAGGAATGAGAGGCAGTGTGGTACAGTGTAAACAGAAGTATCAAACTCTTGGCCTATAGCCCACAAAACCAGAGTTTGGCCAGAACCATATTAAAATGTAATTGGTAAATGTTTAACAAAATAAATAAAACATAAGTAATGTTAATTTGTGATTTTCTGAGTCAATATGCAGCCAGTATTTCTATTTGCATTTGACACCTCTGGTGTGAATAGTGCTGGATTGGACATCTAAGGATCTGGGTTTGAATCTCAACTTTATCACCCATCACTTCACCAAGTCTTCTTCTAACATCTCTGGACCTCAGTTTTTTTTTATCTAGAAAATGAGGAGATTGGATGACCATGACCACTAAGATTCCTTCTAGTTGTAAATTTATAAAATGGGGATGGTAAACCTTTAGAAATAATACAGAAGAATAAGATTATGTTGATGGGCTGAATAAGGGTGGGGTGAATCAAGGGTGACTTCCTGAAGGAATTCTTACCTCCTGATTTAATGAGTATCCGAGGAATGAGAGCTGGAAAGGACCTCAGACTGAGATCACTTAGTTTAACTCCCTTATTTTGAAAACTAGACAACGGAGGCCTAAAGAACTTCCCCAAATTCACAGAAGTAGTAGGGCCTTTGACCCTAATCCAGTGATGATCTTTCTGCTATTAGATGGCTGTGGCCAGGTGAGTTTGGGGAACAAAACTTTTTTTTCATTCACTTGGTGTTACAAAGGTTCTGGAAGAAGGAATTTAGGAGTGGGAGGAGTAGAATTATCACTTCTCACAAGATCACAGGTAATCCTTTGACTCTATATGATCATTGGGACGGCCCACTCCCCCTCTGACGTTCCTAGGCCCAACTCCTTTCTCTTTTCTTCAAATTCATAGACCCCAAGTCAAGAACACTTGTTCCAGGGTCAAGCCAAGACAATTTAATCTCTCTTCCATCTAACATCCATTTAAATACTTGAAACCCTGCTAGCACATCTCGCCTTCCATCCTACCCCATCCCCAAATCTTCTCTTCTTCAGGTGAAGAAACCTTAGTTCTTTCTTCTGATCTGTGTGTGACATAATCTAGAAGTCATCTACAACCCTGGTCACCTACCTCTGGATACAATCTAGCAAGTAAAACGTCTTGTTGTTCAGTCACATCTGACTCTTCATTACCTCATCCGGGATTCTCTTGGCAAACACACCAGAGTGCTTTGCCATTTCCTTCTCCAGCTCATTTTACAGATGACATACTGAGGTAAATGGGGTGAAGTGACTTGGCCAGGATAATACAGCTAGTAAGTGTCTGAGGACAA